TGAAGAAGAAACCCACAGTCTTCACCAGGGTGTCTGCCTACATCGACTGGATCAACGAGGTGGGTGTGCCTTCCTCTGCTCCCTCACAGGGGCTGGCCATGCTGCCCCCACTTCTGCCCCACCCAGGGTCTCACCATGAGCCCTCCTGTGTCTTGTTGTTGACAGAAAATCAGCGAGAACTGAGGAGGCAGCATGTGGAGAGACAAGTGTTGAGCATGATAAAAGCAAAAGTGCTGAGTTGGTCTCATGTGGTTCTTTGTGGGGCATGTGGTGGAGCTGGGGGCAGACCAGGGCTGTATCTGGTGATGCTGAGGTCCTGCTTGTGTGCTGGGGAGGGTGTTCCTGGTGTGCAGTGGGGCTGGGCAGGGCCCTGGGGAGACTGAGGTGGGCAGATATCCTGCAAGGTGCTCCCAGAGAGCTATGGCTGAGCCAAAGGGCTCAAGGCTTGGCTGGTGGTTTGCCAGAAGAGGGTCTGAGGTCTGTCCAAGTGGTTTGGGGTGGGCTCCAGTAAACCCAGTTGGCCCTTGATAGGGATTTAGGACACCTGGTAGATCTCAGGATGCATTAGGAGACCTCACTGCACTGGGCTAGATGAGGGCAGCAGAATTTTAACAAGGATCTTGAGGGAGTTGGCCCTGGGGAGCTTGAGTGGACCTCAACAGGAGCCAGGGTTGCCCTGGGGGAGATGGGGGGAATTTTCCAGGAAAAAGGCATCCTTGTTGGTGGGAGCAGGTGTGAAGGGGCTGCCTGGGAAGGTTGGGCAGGTGCTGCACTGTGATCCTCTGTGAGCAGAATCCACCATGCCATCATCCCACCACAGCTGCCAGAGCCCAGACAGGAGCCTTGAGGCAGGAGGAGAATGACCAGGGATGGATGGCAGCTCAGCAGGGATGTGATGGATGGTGCCTGGTCTAGGAGCCGCTGGGATGGCAAATGGCACCATCACCAGCCCAGTAAGCAACTCTGACACCTGCACTGGGGCTTGGGACACCAGCTGAGCCCCAGCACTGTGTGAGCCACTTGGGGTCTCTCTGGGCACTTTACAGCCTGACCAGAGGTTTAGTGAATGAAGAGAGGTGCAGGAAATGGTTTGGAGGGTCAAGAACTGTTCTATGGCAAAGGATCTGTACGGATCACCCCCTGGGGAATTAAAGGCCTGTCTGTCACAGAGTGTTGTGTGGAGGTGGATGCTCTGCATGCAGGATGGGGCTGGTCAGTCAGGGCACTTAGCATGGGGTTGTCAGAGTGATCTGTGCTGCCTGGAATGGAGAGCTCCAGGCTATGTGAAGCAAAGCAATGTGAGGTGTCCCCATTCCCCTCTGAGGGTACCCACATGTGCCATGGGCACAGTTATTTGGGCTGGAGGTGCAGGGCCTTGGTGTCATCACAGCCTGTCGTATCACGATGTACTGTCATCTCAGTGCTGTATGTGTACCTGTGCAATGTGTTGCCTCCACAGAGGGGGTTAAGGGGGCACAGAAGCCCTGGGCATGGCCCCAGAGTGCCACAAGGCTAGATGCTAGGGCATCAGTACCCACTGGGCCGTGTCCCAAACAGCCAGCAATGGCCATCCCCCTCCAGTGTGTGTCACCCCAATAACCCATGTCTCCTCTCCCAGGAGGTGGTAGAAACTCTATGGGTGAAGAACCTTTTCCTAATATCCAGCCTAAAGCTCCCCTGACACACCTCCATGCCACTCCCTTGGGTGCTGGTCCCAGAGAGCAGAGATCAGAGCTGTCCCTCCATGAGGAAGCTGCAGACCCCAATGAGGTCTCCCCTCGGCCTCCTCTTCTCCAGGCTGAACAAACCCAGTGACTTCAGCCACTCCTTGGATGGCTTCACATGTGTGGGTGCCTCCTCATCTTAACTACTTTTAATCTTAAGGCTGTATAAAGTTTAAAACATATACATTATACTTACAAATTAACGTGTCTGTCAGTTATCATTATATGCTGCTTATACAGTTGACACATTAAATCCACAAGTTAACCTCAAGAAGAGTTTGCTTCGACTTTATTTTTGTTCATTTTAAACATGTAACACCTTACATACACTGTGCCCATTATGTCTCTGTGTGTTTGACAATGTGGGAGAATAAGGGAAAGTTTAACAGAGTACAGCAGAACTTTGTAAAGTTTATAACTCCTACTTAACTACTGGAACCTGTAAGTGGTAGTACAATCACTGACATCAAGATTACATGTCAAATGTCCTCCTGACACCAAGCATCATCCTGACTCTGGTGGGGCAGGGCTGTGGGCAAAGCAAGACCCCACAGCACATGGTGCCAGTCCACGTCCCAGCCTTTCCTCAGGGATATCCTGCACTGAAAGACAGGGAGAAGCAAGATGAGCAGTGGGGTCCATGGGGTAACCCCCAAAAGAGCATCCCCCATCCCTCCTTGAGCCCCTGCCATCCTTCCTTCCCCCATACCTGTGCTGTTGGAGTGATCCTGCTCTGCTTTGGCCTCCACCAAGGATGTCCCAGGAAGAGCTCAGTCACTGCAGTCCATGCCATGGAAAGAGACAAGACAGCCATCTCTGCCCAAAGTCACCCACCAGCACCTCTACCCCAGCTGGGGTGCCCATGACCCAATGCTTCCATGGTGGAAGAACTCAGAAAATAAATATTTCCCAAAGGAGAACAAGTCCAGGAGAGATTGGATTAGCCCTGGGATCACCTGTACATACAGGTGCTCTGTTCAAGAGGTCAACCCAGAATAGGGCAACCTAGCACCCCATATCCCAGGGGAATGGGGAAACTACACAGGAGAGGAAGACAACCATGGCATGAGCACTCACAAACCCCTGGGCACAGGCAAAGTCATCCCAGCTCCTGCCAGACCCACTTTGGGGTGCTCAGGACAGCCCTGGCTACCTGTGGCAGAAGTGGCCAAACCTGTCCACCTGTGCTCACCCACAGTCACCCGTGGGCACAGGCTCACCCCCCACTGCCCTGGGGCACCCACCACCAGCCAAACATACAGGGGGGAAAAAGCCCCTAAATTAAATTTCTGCAGTTCCAAACATAAACAGAACAATCTAAAATAACAGCATAAGGCAAAGCAAACCCCTCCAAAAACCTCTCACATGCAGCCCTTAGTCATGCAGCACACAGCTGTGCACACCCCCAGGCTTTTCTGAGTATGGGAGGTGCCATTGGCATCCAAGATGATTCCATAGCTAAGGCAGCAGCCGGGAACCTGCACCCACACTTGCCCAGGCTGGGTACATAAGGTCACCCCCCACACTGATAGGGACCCACTGTGATAAGTCCCTCAGGAAAGGGAGCACAGTGGCGCTGGGGGTGGCAGGGTAGGGAGGCTGTGTCCTGGGGCAGGTGGTGCACAAGGTTGGGGTGCAGCAGGGCTGCCCAGCACCCCAAGGAGAGCAATATGACTGGGAGGCTGCTCAACAGCTGTCCCCCAAGAGGGACCCTGCCCTTTCCCAGATCAGGGCCAGGTGTCCCTGCCATGTGCCATCACAGTGCCAGCACACGATGTGCAGATGTGGCCATTCCCAGGCAGGATGGTGAGTG